TTATGGTACAGCCAAAACACTTGAACATCAGACTTCATCTCCTTTACGATGAATTATATTGGCGTCTAGAACCCAAGTTCAAATAAATGTGAGCTTGTATGCAGAATTTCTTTTCCATTCGATTGTAAATTTTAGCTTATAGCTAACACTAAAAGATTTGCCATTTAAGTTGGATCGGTCCTTGGAGGTCAGCTTTACTTCGCCATCGGTGCCGATACGCTGACACCCGAGGCATTCGACCGAACTTTGGAGTTGATGTAGCAATGCCCATTAAATGAGTTGCTTTAGTGTTCACTTGTTGCACTAAGCAAGTTCGAAGTGGCTGCCTATTTCAAGGCAATACGAGGCTACTTGTAATAAAATTCAATTGTTTCATCTCGGTAACACCTCTTGCCTCGGGGCGCACATTCTTCAAAACGCGTTAGTTGGGGTGAGTTTACACGTCCTGAATTCTCCATGTTCAGCGATGCGAGCTATGCATTTCTAGCTCTTGTTAACGTTCAGTCTATTTCATCAACTGGAAAGGGGGAAGTTCCCCTTGCAGTCACCTTGTGCCAACTTTTCTCTTTGTTGTTTATTGTCATTTTCTATTTGTGCATTGGTTCTCGATGATTGGGTAATTTGCAAAAAATTAATTCCGTTTATTGGAGACCACATTAATCGGGGACCTTGTCGACAAATATTTGATCGAGCGACTTCTCATCACTACCGGGCTCGAAGTTTTGACATCAGTGCTTCGTTAACATAAATAGTTTCTTTCAATGTCCAGTTCTCCATGATTGCCTGCCACTTTGAATAGAGGTGTGTAGGCGAACTCACGATAAGCACCATTCATTATTCCACGATGGGAACACTGCGCGTAGTACAGTTAGAAGTTCACGGCTTTTTGAAGAGGTAATGCTGAGATGTCTTGTAAATGTTGCCTTTTGGCCCGTATCAAGTCCACACTTCCCGATCTCTCTATCGTGGTGCTTTCATTAAGGTTTCTTATGGTTGAAAACAGGACGGTCTTGTATTGCTGAAAATGATCCATGGCTGGAAAATTAAAAAAAAATTGAAAATGATGACAGTCGCTCACTTTTTCAAGCTTATTATTTGTCCCATCCTCCTTGCCCATGTCTAGCAACGACCGAATGGATGATGAATAATTTCTTAATAAACCATTCCCCTCCTATTTCTTTATCTCACCACGATCTTTCTCACAAAGGCAATAAAATTTGGTTTCAAATTATTGCTATTGTCACTGTGATTCACTTTCGTAAACTTTTCTTGGTTTTTGAAAGTGTCCCAATTTTTTCCTTTACATGGTTTTTACATTTTGTGATGTAAGAAGTGATGAACTAGTAATGGTTACGTTTGTCATGGTGAAGCTGCGAAGTTGGAGATCTGTTTCAAAAACCTTAAGGATAAGCAAAACACATAAGCTTGGCGTTAAGGTAGACAAGTTAGGTCATGGAGTCTTTTTACATCGAATAATTGGATTTAAGATCGGTTGTTAATTAAATACGGCGCTGCTGCTAATTACTCAACCACTTTCCCTCCCCTGGGAGACAAAGAGTTGATAAATTCAGTCTGCGGTGAAGTTGCACCCGTTCCCTTTTCTACCTCACTTTCTTTGTCCTTCCTCGTATGTGGCGATGCTACTGAAGAATGTCAGGAAAGGGTGGTGTCAGTCGCTTGGAAACTATTGTGATGGCAGGAACTAGGACTAAGATGAAGGTGGCGATAGAAATAAGGTTGAAACAACATCTCCCTCCTTCCTATGTTGAAGCATAAATGTTCTGTGTTATCATTTTAGGGGTTCGTCAACATTGGGTGACTTTTGGAAATAAGGACTTGAATAAGTTATTGAAGCACGGCTATAGTCGCGCTTATGTTACCGTCTTTCGCAAGAGTCGACTTTTTGTTCACTTGGTACAACATCCAAAGGTACGGCAGTGCACTGCATTAGTCCTGTTAAATTACGATAGATGAAGTTTTTGGAAGCGACTCTTGTGCACATTGATGTTTTCGCCTCTCTTTTCGCATCCTCACAGTCGTCTGGGGGTCATGGTCCTTATTATGATGATTTTACACAGCTGCAAATAGGCTTTTGGTGACGTCAAAAATGCATTTGTCCAATGTTTTTCAACTCGAAGAACGAGCGTGGATACCTCAAGATGATGAGGAATAATGTTGGTACACTCGCGCCAGTATGGTTTGGATAGATTCTATAAATGAGGGTTCCAGTTTCCTTCCATCATTACTTCATTATTGGGATCAAAAGTGAGCTCTCTTTACATCTCAAATATGGAAGATCTGGGTAAAGTTAAGAAGGATGTGAAACTCAACATCGAAGCAGTTTTTATTGGGAATTTTATCTGCCTACAGTCTGATGTGTCAAATTAAACCCGAAAAACTAGTTGCTGTTTTTATGTCCCATTTTTTTTGCAGGTTTTTGGTGCTCTATATTGGCCTTTATTGGTGTTTTTCTGGCGGACGGTGGTGTCGTAAGGCGGGACGGATTCTTTCGTGGCTACAACTTATGCGTGGTTATTGTCATTGCTCTGCAGTCTCTTGGTGGGCTTTGCGTCGCAGTGGTCATTAAGTACGCGGACAACATTCTCAAGGTCTTCGCCACGTCAATTTCCATCATCTCCTCCTGCATTGCATCCTACTACCTCCTCAACGACTTTCAGCCCAACTGGTCAGTTATTTGTTGAAAATGCCATTTTCCAAAATTAGACATTGGAAACTTTGCTTCTGGTGGTAAAGTAATATTGAAGTAACTTTTTCCCAACACATCGCTCCAGATATATCACTCAGTTTTCCTATTTAATCTCCCAATCACAATGCACTACTTTTCCAATTTCCTAGTTTTGAGCGATTGCATTAAATTTATTGAAATATCATTCAAAAGTAGTACAGGGTACACTTTCGTTTTTCGCCTTGATTATGCTCCTCTTCTTCAAAGTCAAAAGTGGCGGACTTAGTGCAGTAATGTCGGTCAAGCTGCGAAGTCGCTCCTCTGGAATTCCACAGTGATTAATACTAGTTGCTCGACAAGCTAATCCGTTTTTGGCGATCTCGCCAGTGACTAATAAAAGAAACTCCCTCCTTTCTTCAATGTCTTCTATCTCATTATCACAACCTTGGAATGGTAAGCTACTCCTCTACTTTCTTAAACACTAAAAGTGCTATAATTACCTGGATTTTGCAGTTTCATCGAAGGAATCCCGGTCTAAACCAGGGACAAGTAGTTGTTTGCGTCGTTCCAAAGTGAATGGATCGACGGTCTTGGGTGTCAGAGGAAAGCATTTTAATTTTTTTTTGTACTAATTATAGGTATTTTGCGATTGGAACAACAGCTGTCCTAAGCGCCACTGCTTTGTACAGTTTGGGCGAACGTACGAAGTCATCGGAGTCAGAACTACCTGTTACTGTTAGCAAAGATTGAACTTGGATTCCTCGCCCCCTCAACACTGGAGCAGGCTCACTCGTCTTTCCGCTCAGTCTTTTGTAATTTGTGATTTCTTTGTGGACTCCCTTCTCCCGACCAGAATATTATGAGATTAATAAGACAATTTTGAAGTTAGTGGGTAACTGGTAAATGGTTGGGACTATTTCAGCGCATTATTGGCTTCTTATTAATGTGATACTAAATTTGGGTTGCTGATAGATGCCCACAGGGAAGTGGAATTATGGATACGTGCAAATTTATTTAGAAACACGTTAACTTCCTATCCACTAACACAGATTGGCAGGTGAATTGGTCGATGTTGTTGTGTGGTTCGAGATCTGGGACCTGACACTGAGGGAATTTATGACGTTTGGACAGCATATACATAGATAATGCACAACTGAAGTTAAGCCGTCAGCTCAGCGTTGATATCATAGCCAAGACTAAATGTGTGTATGCCAAAACAGCCGACGTATTGCGTATCTATTCCTCCCTATGGAGTGTCGCTGTAACATTTAGCTATTCGACTGCATGTATGGGAAGTGATCTTGTTCCTGTTGGGTGCGTTGAAGGTCCACCTCTTCCATCTTTCTTAAAACAAAAGCATTCAGTCAAATCTTATGCCTTCTATTGCCAAATGAGGAATCGCGAGACCCTACACCGACGCCAACAGAAATCAGACTCGAGTTTTCCACGGATTTTATTGGGTGAGAGGGGCTCTAACTTCTCCACAACAGAAGGCTCTGAATGACGTTTGGAGAGTTTCGTTTCGAAGCTCCCCTCGCCCTGACCGCGTATAGAGGATGGCATTATGAAAATGCACGAATCCCTTCCATACGAGTTTTCTAGCTCCTGTTCTCCTCATTACGCAGTGTTCCAACAACTGGCCCTGACCACACGCGATGGTCAATAGAGTTCCTCGTCTCGGATTCCTGTTTTCAGACCGCATGAAACACCAGATCTAGTTGAAGCTGATGAGAGAGTTATGTACATTTTCAAACTCTCATGTGTCGGTGATTAGTGCGGCTAGATCGTGAGTGTTTCTCGATAGT